ATATATTATACATATATACTTTAGTATATATATGTACATATATATGTATGTATACACATATATACACACATATATATATACATATACATATACATATACATAGACATCTATATATTATATATATATATATATATTAGTATATATATATATATATATATATATATATATTATACACATACATACATACATACATACATACATACATACATATATATATATACATTATACAGTACATATATATATATATATATATAGTGTGTGTGTCACGTCTGTTTAAAATGTGGAATTACGACTATGTATTCTAAGAAAATAATAGAGTAGGTTCATGTTGTCAGTCTGTCACGTTCTATGGAGATACACAAAACATAACAGGGCATTTTTTTTGAGGATGGGTCATATAATTGAAACAAGTCACCAGTGATGATAAATTTACGGCGGACGATTCGTACCTTTGGTTGCTGATTGATTTAAAGAGATTGGCAAGTAGGGATTGTTTCTTCAAGGCTATGTACCATAGCGCAACATCAAGTGGATCCCGTGATTCAGCGAATTGATTACGAGCCAGAGTTTCCATGTAATTTTTCAAGGTATTTGGACTCTTTATGAACAAGCCAAACCTGAAAGTATGAAGATGAAGGTATCTACATATCAGATAGTACTACAAATAAAATAGTAAATATATCGCTATATAAGACAGACTCAATTTGACTGTTCGGGCATCAAAAAATGAAGCGATAGCTTAGAATGAACTCAAGAGTGCTCAACACACGCGAACAATACCTTATTGCACGCAAATCTTGCCAATTAAGTTTTATCAGGCCATGCGAAAGAGCCAACTCCAAGATGGTCTCCTGAGATTCCGAATGTAACGCCCAGAAGGCATCAGTGGCAGTCACATGCGATCTGAGGAAGAAATATAACAAAATTTGGTTAACCACACAAGCGTTCTCGGTACATCATAGTGGGGTGCTAGCTTTGTATTGGTTGATGTGACGAATAGTTACATCGAATTGGGATGAATACAACATTACTGTACAATATACCTGCGATTCGTTGTCCGAATGGCGCATTCCAATCGATTGTGCAGCTCAGAAGAGTACTAGCAGCATCGCGCGCATGAGCACTAACACCCTCGAATTTTTGATATTCTCTCATTAAATGCTGCGAACGCAGAAACTGAACTCACTTTTCTAGTTTTGGATCAGTCGATCGCATATATGACCATAGCTTGATTGAACAAAAGGCTCTGAACCCACACATGTCCAAACCACCAGTTATGTCTATCGCGGTCTTGATAGTCTCGACGATGGCAATCACTTCCACCTGGGCCACAATCAAACAGAACGTTGATATAAGTCAGAAACGCTCGGTGTTTCATTCTCAATATAGTTGTTTTGTGAATGCTGCCGCCAAGGTGCTGAATCGAAAGATTTGCGAGAACTGCTAGCGGCTATGGCAGGTAAATACACACGGCTCTTTCAGGATGTTACTATACGGTTTGTCGGCTCATACCTGCTCTCGCTCCGTAATCAGTGGTAAATCCATTTCCCTTAGCAGATTGATGATCTCTGGCATTGTAATCTTTCTTTGCTTCCCTTTTTTGCCCTGACCCAGAGCATAGGGTGCATCATCATCGTCTCCAAGATCCATTGTGAAAAGTTCTTCGTAATCATCTTCCCTTTCCAGGCCTGTCTGTGCTATATCGTCAGAGGTCGCTGAGTCCATTCTGCCCCATCTGAAGTTTTGTGAAACAAATCATTTCAGTACTGACGTGTTCAGAATATATTGTAAAGACACAAAAAGTGTGCATGCCATCGATTCGGAGAAGGGTCGTTAATGCAGAGTGATAGAAATGCGACATGAACTGTGAGTTTCGTAACAAACTTGTACATGCACTCCTCCACCCAAAGACTGTCAACACGGATTGAACAGCGAACTAAGTGGTTGAGGCACATGGCTACCACTCAACAAACTGTTATCATTTGATATGACATCCGGCGTTACACTGCAAACTAGCTAGAAAACAATTGTCAGCAATTTGTAAATTATGTCATAAATTCGTTCCATGCGAACAAATAAGCTTGTTTTTGGGGAATGTTTTAGAATTAGGTGCTATAAGAGTAAAACTGTTGTGCATATAGTGTTAAACAACGAGTTGTTATCCCGACACAGATGTAAAATTCAGGAACATACACACCAGTCACAGCGAAGCAAAAAAAACCTACTTAGCGATTGGCAAGAACGGCGCGCATTCGACCACCAGCTTCGCTCGCTTCTGCAATGAGTCGCCAGACCCAGTAATCATATCCAAAGAAACATCATCAATGTCTCTCTCCATATCGTCTTCAAATTTCTTCTTTAGACGCCTCAGTTCTGTGCCGAAGAAGAGCACAACATCGACAGCCGTCCTGAACTTGTTTGTCATGATGAGCTGATGGAGCTGCCTGGGATGATACTGAGTAGAGAGTGTCGACGACGATTAGAAGCAGGCGATGCTGAATTTGTCTTAAATTTGATACTGGCTGGGTCAGCCAACGAACAGCATGTCCAAGCCGCAACAGATCATGCACTTGCGGTTCACATTCTTGGGTAATCTTCTATAAAGCAAGTAACAAGGGGATTAAAGCTGTCCTATTTACATACTTGTGGTAGTGGACGCTCGCACGCGTTTGCTAGCTCAAACACAGACCCTGGCACTTGCGATGGATTGAAATATAAGCCTGGGGATATAACTTGGCTACGAACAAATCGTTCCACCTCCGAGTTCAATAGCCATTTGCTGAAGACCATCATTCGATCTGCGAATCCTACTACAAAGCTACCATCTTGAGTCCATCGGAAAGACATAGGTTGGATGGTCCCTTCACCTTCCCCTGGGGTTACACAGTCGAGTCTGATTTATGGTACCGAAATAATCAAGCGATAAGCATTTACTAATTATCTACAGTGGTATGGCAACAGAGCGAGTCCAAATTGTTTCCTTACTTTTAAATGAATGTATACCATCTGATAAGAAGCAATAGTGCACATTTTGGATGAAAAAGGATATTTGAACATCGATTATCTACAGACTTAGAATCTAGTCGTCTGAAAACAAATTTCTTCTCTCCTCAACTGTTAAGAGAACAGGTGCTGTCTGCATATGCGCCCTGACTTGGATATACGAATTTGTAATGTTTATCGTGTTAACAAACAGTATAGCGATGCTTTAAAACAACGATCTTGTGTACACAACTGTAACTAATATTGGTTCTATTGGTACTCATGGTTAAAAACCCGAGTCCGAGGCTGCCTCTACAAAATTTATGGCCGTTCTGAAAGGAAGGCTTATATGGGCAACGATGGTCGTAATTATCATTAGATTGTCAAATTATACACATCTTTTCATGATCGTGTAGAGATGCACAATTCCGCCCGAATCCCCTTCAAATGCTTCAGGCAATATCGAGGTAATGCGTACAGTACAACCCTGATTTGCATTACGAGTGTGCATATAAGGATTTTTGAAACTATGTAGGTATATATCGATACCTGAAACTATGCATCTCTCTGAATTCAACGCCTGACGGTTGGAACACGTCGCTGGTGAACTGAGTGTACAGATGCATTCGCACTCCAGCGCCCACTGCCAGAACCGGAGACCCACCATCACCCGCATCCATCCAATCAAACGAGAACACGGGCTCACTATCAGGAAAAGTTAGTGTAGATTCCAGTCTAGATTCGTAGCCGCCTGCAGAGACAATAGGTGCAAGTAGATCGATGTAGTACTGTACATTTAGTTGCTAATGAAAAGTGCAGTGCACAAACATCTCGCCGATAAACCGATTTTACAAATTGAGCTTCAGGCTTTCAACCCAGGAAAAAAAATAACAAAAATGGTCAACCTACCCCAATATAAACTTTCAAAATAGAGTTTTTGCAACGCAATTCACACCTGTACTAACGCATTCCCAAACTCGTATTGTGTTGCTGTTCTTCCACTTAGTTGCCACCCGCACAGGAGACGCAGCCTTGGCAGTGAGATAACCCGTGCGATTTTCATCTACCGGTTGCGTCGCAATCAGTTGCAACCACGTCACTAAAGGTTCTCCACCGGCATCTTTAAAGGGAGGAATAGTATATGTTATTGCTGACAATGTAAAATCTGAGCTATGATCTGCGAATGAAAAATGTCAAGGACGAATAACAACACTAGCACGCTCCCGCCTGACATTATGTAGCAGCTACAGCCACTTTATGAAGGTATAGGGTAGCCTGCAATTCTAAACATACCATTGTCTGAGCCCTGACCAGCCCGATTGATGAGACAGTGCCACATTCGCATAATACCATCAGTGCACCCGCTTACTAATAGCAGCGAGTCTTGCCCGCCCTCGCTCTGTGTCCCCGTGTTGTCTGATGTGTGTTGCAGTCTGGTTGTGAAAGGTCTCGTTAAGTAAGATATAGACACACCCTCCGGCAGTCCCAATTCGTATGGTTTATCACCAATGACCTGCAATGCAATTTAGAAAAGTTAAAAGGAGAAGAAGAACCAACAAATAAATATCTTAGGCACTGCGAGGCATGGCAACCCCAAATATGACCGACAACAATATCAATTCTTCTTCGTGAATCTTATCGCATTTGCTAGTAATAGTTTAGCCCATCGCAAGACACCGACCTACCTTCGATTCAATAACGGTCATGTCCTCCCCTAAGCGTAGCAGCCACACTAGTGCGCTCCTGCCGTCCTTAAGCAGTCCAACAAGATAGTATCGAATTGATTTGTCTCCACTTCTCTCAGCCTCGCCTTTCTCCTCGTCATCCGCTACTCCGAATACGTGCAGACTAATCACATCGCGGGCGAATCTGATAGAATGAAATATGAAAGTTCTAGCAAACGTCTTTAAACCTACTCCAAATCTCACAAACGAGAGAGCTTGTGACCTCAAACACCAAACGCTAGAAGCACGAAGATTGTACTTTGTACACAGATCCACACCTGCTACCGCTGTCTATACTCTTGTGACTAACACGTGTCATTGAGCCAGATGCCTCTCCCATTTCTTCATCTTGCAAAGCATCATCGGCCATCGTACTTTTATTCTCAACACTCTGACCAGCACTTTCATTTGTGCGTATGCACCAAACTCCCAAAGATCCTTCAATAATAGCCACGAAAGCGGGCTGATGAGGGAACCAGGACATTAAGGCCGGGTCCCATATTCCTTTAGCCTTAACGAGAGCGATCCTATATGAAGAAGTCCGTACCAACATTTAAGACTTAACACCCAAAATCCGCATCAGTATTTCTGAAACAAGCATATGTAGTCATGCGACCCCGTTCGTTGTATAGGTATGAACAAAGCCAATTTCAACAACAACAAAAAGGTACTATTTTAAAGAAGGGAATTAAATAGTTGAGATACAACCTCAGCCGCCATTTGCATGATGGAATGACATTTTACATACGAGTTGGCCTGTCACAGGAAACATGAAGATACCTGACAAGTGGTTTGAGATTGCCCTCCATGACTCTGACAGGTCTCGTGGCCCAAACAATGAGCTCTGACCGATCGCGGTACTTCTCCGTTCCCATACTCAACAGAATGGGTTTCTCGGGATGTGACTTGATATGGGAGATTTGTACCTACTCCGCCCCACAAGAGTTCGTGTAAATGAGCGTTGGATCAATACAGAGTGCTGCAAGTTATCATGAGAAACAAACTTTGAATTGCCGTGAAACAACACGCCACATTCTGAGAGAGACCAATTGTATGACAATGCCAAAATTTCACATCGTACTTGATATCCTAATCAAAGGGAATTTAGAAATGAGCGACATTCTAAACTTTTCGAATGTATTAACTGCCAATGTCGTATTCATTTCAGAGATGGACAATTGCGGGATCGCTACATTGATTCGTACTATAATTCTTCGACATACCGTGTGTCCACTACAAATTGTGTCAAACTCCAACCCAATAAAGGATAATTGATCATTGGTATTGAGTATCAAGAGTTTCCAGCGTGAGATGGAGCCGTCAGAACCCCTAGCGATAAGAGCAATTTCGGTAGGTGTGCACGGATCGCCTCCTTCTTTCAAGTTTGTCCCTTCATTTGTATGTGTGATAATTTGTAAGTGATACTTTATTCAACGAATCTGAATGATCCCATGACGCCACATAGACACGCTTCGAGATTGATATGACATTCAATACCGCAATCCCCGAAATATTCAATGACAAAACTCCTAAAATCGGGCTATTGATCAAACACACTTAAAGCAGAGGAACCATTCCCTTCACATCATTTCTTCAATTATCACAATATCGCAATGATATACTGTAGCTCTTTCACGTCTAATTCTTCACTGGAGGGAAAATAATACGAATTCATCCTTGATACAACAACCTGGATAAGAATACTTACTTTGCACCGCTGATGAAGTTGCATCTTTTTGAGAGTCTTCCGAGCTGCCACCTTTATTGTAGCTGTCTGCGCCAAAAATCGCTAGCACTTCGTATGCAATCCGTTTGGCTTGATGAGCTGGTAGTGCATCCACCATTCGGGCCACCAAGGACACCTTACATTTGTAGAAAACAACTCAACAGATCAACACACTCGTATACAAAATTTCTGAACCTAGGTAGAGCATACTCGGATTCGCCAGTGAGATTGTAATTACACACTTCAATACAGCCAAGACATATAGAAAACCGCACAACGTACCATGTAATATTGCACGGGAATTGAAATTACGTAGGCTGGAGGAAGATTGTACCTGTGGTATGCATCTAGGTTGTGAATCAACACCTTCAATTTTCCAAACGACAAAAGCGCCGTCATCTTCAAACGCAAAGGCATAATCCTGCAACGCCCGACAGGTGTGTGTGTAGTGATGGTTGTCGGCAGCAACAGCAGCAAGAGCTGTTAATGTGGTGAATACGTTCAGTAAAATTAGTATGTATTATACCGAGTTTAAAGTACAGAAATCCTCAGTTGCTTTGTCAGGGTTCTTGAGAGAGTGGACTTTCAGATGGGTAGATACAAGCGCACTCGAGAAAGTAAAAGCAACCCAATGGGAGATACTCATACCGGCAGCGTCCTTAGCAGCACTTTTCCAGGTTGGTTTGGAATGACCCAGTAGATCGCGCGAGAATTTCTTAGCGCGTGATCTGTCCAGTGCCAGTTCCCTTTCCAGATCAAACGAAGAGTCTCTCGTGCTCAAACAGAGTAGTGGTCCCGGCAACCAATTGACGGCCGCATAGCTCTCCTGTGAATTGTAGTCCTTGTCGTGTTGCGGTTGCAGTACAGTCCCGTCATCTGTGTCACTGCTCGTTGACGCATATACGGCTTGAGTTTGATCTTGGGAAATAATTATTTTCGGCTGAACAACAGCAGCCAGGTGGAACCTAAGGACATCGCTTGTCCAACCACAATTCCCTACCCACACTCGACTTACTCGGTCGCAACATGATGTCATCAGAACGGCTGCATTTTGAAATCTACGATGCCGGTTTAAATGTGCAGAGGTAAAAGAAGTGTCAGCTAGTGGTGAATCGTGGTGACGACTTATTCTAAAAAAATGCCAGTCATTTTGCTACGTACACCTGATTCAGACCTTGATGTGGCTATATCAGCCACTTGAAAATTGCGCAAGTCTATTCAGGAAGCCATGGAAAGCAATATTACTCGGCTGCGCAATGCAAATGGTACATGGGAAGAAGTGGTTGTCACAAACCTTCTATATGAGAGTGGACTCGGTTCTCTCCATTGAAGACCGGTCACGGCACGTGGGTGGGGTAAGTATGAGAAGGTCCACCAAAGCTTCTCGTTCGCTAATGAGGACATCCCAGTTGCATCGTCATGCGCACTCGGCTGCGGCGTGGCCTTCAGAAGGCCCTCTCTTCGCCACCACACTTTCACCAGACGGTCAAACTATATTTCGAACAGCGAATAAACCGCTTGGGTTAATATGGAACAGTGTTCAGACTTGCATATACGATAGACGTAATCGGTCTGCTATCTTAGTCACACGTTCACATATCAGTGTAAATCAGGCAAACTACCTAAATATATGGAAGACAGGCGCAGAACATACTCACCATGCCAGCTGATGCTAGAAATTTGCCATCGGGCGAGAACCTCAAGTGATACACAGGCCTCGCCATAGGTATATCCACGATAACTTTAAGACGGAACTTAACATCGGGTGTTCCATCCGAAATCTTCTCTTCCTTGGGTCGCTCCTGCTCCTCTTCCTTGTCCGCTTGCTGCTTGAGTGCCCGTGCTTTAGCCTTTTCGCCCCAGAAGTCATCTTCTAGATCATCCTCACTATCGTCATGTAGACTGCCTTTTGTACCGTCCTTCGTAAGCAACGAGCCTGCAGTGGAATTTTGAGACTCGATCAGGGCGAATTCAAACACCTCGCCACCTCGATCTTCCATCAATTTGATGTACTTGCTCGTACAACCGCATTGAGTACCGAGCTTAAAACATAGTGATTCCGCTACCCCATTATCAGGAAATAACCAATACAATACAAACAGAATATACATACTGAAAGCCCTAGCGGTCTCCAAAGCCAGAATATCCTCCTCCGGTCGAGAAAACACTCGCAGCGAGTCACTGCCGGTTGACAGCATACGACCAGAACGTCCCCACGAAACCACGTGCACTGGTGTCTCATGCTTCAGACGCAAAATGTTTACCCATCTGTACGGATGCTTGCCGGACTATGGGAAAGAATTTGTTGGAATAGAAAAAAATAATAAAAAGTTATTTTACCCGCAGGTGGAGATAAATCACTCGAAGCATACGGGATAGATAGAATACAAGCTCCATCAAAATACACACTGGGCTGTCAAATTATGCAATGATTTTCAGAGCATTTATTGAACCTAACGGTCTCGCCATTGTATAGTGTAAAGCACAACTAAAAGACTTACGCGAAGGTACATCCCAACCTACATGCCGCACAATTCATGTAAAGTCATTGGAAGTGTGTTCTTCCGTCTGAACAGCACATATTCACACAAGACAACTTTACGGCCATCGTAAACGAACCCGACCGGGTTCACATATAAAAAATATATTGGAACGAGGCGATACCATCACCAGAAATAAGATCATGCATATAGAAATGCACCAACAATCCCGTAAATACACATTTTATACGCACACAAGCAAAAATGGTTTAAACAAAAGTAGCGAATGTATACCTGTAGTGTCTAGTTGACATTTATGTACTGATATCATTGCATAGCTCTATCGTCCCGAACTAGAGAAAACGAGGCGAATTTAAATCGATATGGGATACTGTGTATTGCCCATGTTTAACCTACCAGCTCTGCGCAAAACTTGGGCTCGTACACGAGCACAGAATTGCCATACGTAACAGCAATGCGACTGCTTGTAGTGTCCCAAGCTACACATTCCGCAGGGCAATCGATATCTTTGGGTTGTCCGATAACTTGATGTAGATTGAAAGTATCTCCGTACATGATCACCACGTCCATTGCTTTGCAATAAACAACGAAGGAGGTATCTCTGAAACGTCCGGTAGTCGTCGCATATGGCTTCCCATTGCAAGCGCCTGCAGTCAAAAAAGTGAAATATTAATTTGAAAGATTTAAACACTACAATTTCTCAGATTAAGAAGGTACAATATCATCAGAAGTCAGACAGGGGTGGACCTGAAAGCACAAGGAAATGGTCTGACATAAGTTTGAGAAGATACGGTATCATTATATACAAGACTGAGGTGCAACTAAAAACACAATCAAATGCATGTCGGGGGCAATAGTAATACTTTTCTTGGTTTAAATTGATGTTCACGAGTAGATACGTACAATATCAAGTCCTCAATGCAACTGATCAATTTTTGACAAATAAACATTTCATCATATTGCATATATTCATATCCTTTTTACAAATAAAGTGACATATATAAATGCTTTCTGCACCTAGCGATAGAAAAGAATAATTGTAGATATACATCGATATGCAACAACAACTATCGGAAAAATGTATATTGTTATAACCAATTGGAAGCACATAGGTTCTTATGAACGACCTTTTCGTAAACATTTAGTTATCCTTGACATGAGAAGAGAAGCTTGAAAATGGTAGGGCGTCACATATATACAGAACTAGACAGTTTATAATAACAGCAAAAAGAACATGAACGAACAACCACATCCATGTGTATCATTACACTAGTACACGTATATACATATATATATACATATGATAATTATGCATATATACATATATATATCTCTATATATATATATATAAACGTATACGGAAACGGACACGGATACGTATACATATATATATATATATTACGTATACGTATACACACACATATATATATATATATATATGTGTGTGTGTGTATGTGTGTGAGAGAGAGAGTGTGTGTGTGTGTTTGTATATATATATATGTGTGTGTGTGTGTGTGAGTGTGTATGTATGTATAAATAAATATACATATATATGTATATTAATANATATATATATNATNATATATATANATAATANATANATATATA